CACTAGTCTCTGTTTCAAATGTAAGCATCAATGGCCGCCATATAAAAAAGGCTTAGTGGCACTTAGACAACTTTAAAATTGTTGATAATTCTCAAAATATTGCATACAGATTTATTAAAGGCATAAAAACCTTAAACGAAAGATAAAAACAACATAATACAATAATTTTTAAAGCAAAAAATGTACAATTTACAAACATATAAGAGTAAAGAAACTGAGATCACTGACCCGGGTAACAGAGTGGATATATATATATAAATATATTTATATACGTTTGGTGCGACCGATTGCAACCAAAATACGAGGTGCACATCTAGATGTTATAGCAGTCCTATATACAAAATTTCAACGTTCTGAAGCTACTCGTTTTTGAGTTATGCGAGATACGTACGTACGTACGTATATACGTTCGTACAAATTCTCTTCAGAATTTATTTTAAAGCAGTTTTATAATTTTTTTGAAGGAAAAGAGTCTTTTATTCTGTCCTTACGTATAGATATGACGCAAATACATCGTTAAATTGCATTCGATAGCGGTCAAAATGGATATTTTCGTTGAAATATGCTGCCTGAAACTTTTCGCGATTACAATACTTCCTTTTTACTTCGTACAAGGAAGTAAAAAGGTGCCTCTATCACTTCAGCCCTACAGAGTTATTTTCATTTATCGATTTTACTTTTCATTTATCGTTTTTAATATACGACTCTAACGTAAATTTAATCTTAAGATCTTAATACCATTCAGAAATACTGCATGATGATGTCATATATTATGTTCCATATAAATTACTTTATATGTTCTCATGCAGAGTTTTAAAATTATAATGTAAAATTGTTCGCAAAAGATTTGCGAAATTCTTCTGGGCAAATTGCCCCTTCGGTCTAATAAGAAAAAGAAAACTAAAAATGAAGATTTGCCCTAGTTGGCATTAGTTCTTGAATAGCCAATACCTCACCTTTATTTTATTTCTGTTTTGAAAATTTTACACATTCAGTTTAATGCTTATAATAAGTATTGAATCGTAAACAGGCAAAAGTAACTACGGTAAACTCTCCATTATCCGCGCATGGTGGTGCCGACGCAAGTACACTTAACACTAAACACTTAGTACTTAACACTAAGGCAAACACGCATCATTACGAGCATGTATTGCATCTTTAGATTTGCTTTCATTGATTGTCTCGTACAGTTCGAAGTTCTGGAAAAGTAAAACATTTTATGAAATTCAAGAGGAAGTTAACTGAATTGGATGTCATATACGGAGTAACAAAAGCTTGGTCGAAATTAAAACGACTAACGCTAATTCAAAGATATAGAAAGATTCATCCTAATATAGAAACTGGAAATAATTTAATTGAGAAGAAATCGTGGTAATAGCTGAATTTGTATGCCGAAAATGAAAATGAAAAATTCTTCAAAAATGTTGATCGGAAAAACATAGAGTAAGGACTGATTGGAGGGCAATTCGACTGAACAGAGGTTTTATATTTGAGTGAGGCAGATATCGTTTCAAATGTCACAAGAACAAAAGAAGCAAAGAGTAATACTGAAATTTTTGAGCAAAGAAGATACCGACAATTAATTACATGAGTTCTGATACAGTAATGGCTTCTATTGGACGCAGTCGACCAAAAAAGATTCCAATGCAGTAATAAAAGAGCATTTCGAAAAATGCGCAGTTAAATTCGACAAATATTTAAGCCAAAGTAAAACAAATGACTTGTTCAAGAAATAAACACGTACAATACATATTAAAATTCATAGTTCGTTTCATTTTGTGCGTTGATTCACCTTTCAAACTGTTGCCACCAAATCTTATCGCCAGGTATTATGTTTAAAGAAAACTAAACAATGAAGAATCTGCATTGAATGTATGAATATTCCTCGCGTTCTGGAAAAACAATGGTACATACAGCCCTCAAATTTTGAATAACGTAGTCCTCGCCCCGAACATGGGCACATTGAAGCCCGAATTATTTTGAATTTCGAATTTGGTTTATTACCTATTTAAAATTTTGTAAAACTTTAACGAATTTTTATTAACAAATTCAACGATTTCGAAGCAGACAATAGCAAGATTTTACAGAAAAACACATTTTTATCTCCAGCGCGCGAGATTGTATTTTGGAAATTCTAAAGATAGGTTGTTTTGCTGTTTTTAAAAATTTTGTAATATTGCCGTTAATTGAATTTTATGTGGTTTAAGTGCGATGAACATGATCTCTACATATAATAAAGGAAAGAGTCTGTCTGTCTGTCTTTTGTTCGTGCTGCGCGTAAGCTAATAGACCCAGTGCTATGAAATTTGGTATATAGGTGCATCTAGACAAGAGCCAGTGCACCTCGAAGCGAATTTTTTCAAAATTTGAATCAGATTGTTTTTAATTTTATTGTTTCGATTCTATTGCATCATTTTGAAAAGTTATATTCTTTTAGAAATGTGATTTTGGCAACAGGTTTTTCATTCAATGCTTTGTATAGTGGACTGCTGACTGTTGAAACTATGAGAAAAAATGCTTTTGGGGGGGGGCACGCAACGCACACATCGCAATCTTCTTATTCTGACGCCCATGTGTCTCGCGGCAGAGAGAGTTCAGGCTCAACAGAGACAATTTCCTTTTTTTCCCTCTCTCTCTTTATTAGTTAATTGCAAATAGGTTTGTATATTTTGAATAATGCCATCCACAAAGCACAACTGTGATTGGTTATTTCTTTCTGATGATAGTTTCATTCTTTTAGAAATGTGGTTTGGCAACAGGTTTTTCATTCATTGCTTTGTATACTGGACTGCTGACTATTTTCTCTTGAAAATATGAGAATTATTGCTTATGCAATTGTAATTTTTTATATTATGTTTTAAATTTTAATTATATAAAACGTTTTTTTTAGGAAACAAAGTTTTTAACTTCCTTTATACTATTTGAATTCTTAAGATTTTGCAACGGGAAGTTGCACCGAAGTTGGTTAATTTATTTATTACGATAATTAATATTTGTATTAAGGGATATTGCTTATTTCATTGTAATATTGTAATTTTTTATATGTCATAAATTTTTTTTAAACTTGTGGCTTTTTTTTTCTTTTGATAGAGTTGTTCTGCAGAGTAAAATTCTGCGCAGTTTTTAAATTTAATGTTTGGTACTTCCTTTAGGCATTTTTATGGTGCATTTAAAAGCCAGATGAAGGCTGGTCGCGTAGCGTCGTATTTCATAAATAAAGGTAAGCCATAAAACGTTTAAAGCTCCGTTTTGGGCTTAATGTAAAATCTGAGAGTTTTCAGATTTTTTTTTTTTTTTACTGCGGCTGAGAATGGAACTCGCTAAACTGCATCTATGCCACTGTAATTTTCGTGTTTTAATCAATAGAAAAAGGGGGTGGACTGCCGCAGAAACTAAATAGATTATCTGTGAAACTTGTCATTTTATCCAATACGTTGTGTCCATTGTTATCTGTAGAATGCAATTCACGGGGGATAGAAATGCTGAAGTTGAAATAAATGATAAACCATTTTCAGGAAAACTAAAAGATTTTGACAGCAATTTATTGCAAGAACTTCTTAATGGAAGCTGCTTTGAAGTATTGGAGAACCTGAAAAATCAATTATGAATTTTTTACAGCTGTTAATTAAATAAAATTAAAAATCCGACGACATTAAAATATATGTAGACAACGAGAGAAAGACAGCAGATCAAAATTTTATCTTTTTACCTTATTAAAATCGTTTTTATCTTTTTATTAAAATCGTTTTTATTTTTTATCTTATTATATAATTATCTTTATAAGATTAAAATCTTTTAAATGTTATCTTATTTATCTTATTAAAAAGCAGTTTAAAAATATGAATGAATTGTACTAAATTTCATTGAGAAATTCAATAGACTACGTGTTTACATAGTGTTTCTTTTGCACATTCCATTTTCCCAAAGTCATTACTGACCCTGTTGAATGCGATTTTGTCTCATAATTGTAGTTAGAATGAATTTGTTTAAGGCAACTGCCAATCCATTGCTCGGAGAATAAAAAAAAACAAGAAGGCTTAAATAAATTGGTTTACCTAAGTAACACTTATTGTTAGCTATGAATAAAACTTAAATTTTAATGCACTTCATTTTGGAACACACCAAATATTAATCCTTAAATGTAAATAGCAATTCCAATTAAATATGTCTGAGTTAATAAATTATACTTGAATTATTATAAAAAGATTTATTTTTATTACTTATTGTGATTTAATTTAACTTATGACGATGTTATGATTTGATTCAAGTTAGCCTTGTACTCACGTATTATCGCATCAACAGAAGTCGCTAAATTTTCAGAATGCACCAGATTAACATGTACACGTGTGCCACATCATAACAATTCTTCAAACAGCTATGCGAATAAAAGTCTGTCAGTATTAATAGTCAATGTTGCTGGTTTCTGTATAAACCTCTTTTTTGTTTCTTTCAAAACGCTTCTTGTAATTAAGTTTATGAATGATTTTTGCAATATATACCCCATTAAAACGTTAATTATGCATGTAGTAATATGTAGGTGTGTTATAAATATTATTGCGAAATGCCCAGCTGCGGTAATATAGCTTTCCCGCAAAGAAAGTAACAAGGAAAGGCAGGATTTCCAGATTTGGCGCGAAATCGAGTATTTGGCTACAAAATTGGCGATATATTGACGGAGCGCAAATATTCTACGTAGGTCAGTCAGTTGCACCTTTTTGTAAAAACTTTCTTTTAAAGACTATTTCGATGAAACTCTCTGGCGACACTTCATACATTTAGCTGTATCGTGTGGTATAGCGGCTTTTACGAGGCAATTTTAGTTTGTCTGATAATCAGTCGTAAGCATGTCTGAACAGCTGCAAGTGGCGTCCAATGGAAATGCGTGCAGTGATTCGCTTTTTGTAGACGAAGAGTGTAACGGCTGTGAAATTTATCGTCAGTTGTATGAAGTTTATGGTGAAAATGCAATGTAACGTCCAGCTATTTCGAAGTGGTGCGATATGTTTAAGAACGAACGTATAGATATTGATGACACTGAGCGCGATGGAAGACAATCAACTGCCACAAATTCTGAAATGTCTGCTGGCGTGAATGAATGCATACTTGCAAACAGATATAGCACAACAATAGCCGAAATCTCTAATGAACTGGATATTTCTCATGGAGGTGTGCATAAAAGTACTGCCGATCAGCTTCAATTTCATAAAGTTTGTGCTCGACAAGTGCCTCGTCAACTGACGGAGGAATATAAAGGGAAGCGTTCTGAAACTGCGTTGAAATTTCTGCGATGTTACCAAAATGAAGGAAATGGGTTTTTTGACAAAATAGTGACCGAAGAAAAGTCTGGGATTCACTACTTCTCCCCCGAAAGGAAACGCAGCTCCCTCAAGTGGTAACATTCCACTTCCCAGACACAAAAAAGTGTCAAACTGTTCCGTCTACGGGAAACGTTAAGCTGAAGCTATTTTCAGTAGAGAAGGTTTGCTGCATACAGAGTTCATGCCGAAGAGTTTCACAATTAATGCAACTTCTTATTGTGAAAACACTAAAACGATTACGACAATCACTTAAAAATCGACGCCCGGGTAAACTGTCGAAAGGCATTGTGCTCCTGCATGGCAATGCAAGATCGCATGCAGCAAAACAAACGTGCGACCTTCTGAAAAAGTTTAAGTGGGAAGTCTAGAATCACCCTCTTTATAGCCCACACCTTGAAGCGTGATTTGTTTTTGGCCCCATAGTAGCAGAACTTTCAAAGGGCTGATATCAGTGGAATGACGAGTTGGAAACGGCAACCTAAGAATGATTATCGGGCATCGGACGGGATTTCTTTGCAGAAGGCATCGACAAACGTGTACCACGCCTCGACAAATGCTTAAATAACGAAGGTAATTACGTTGAAAAGTAGATTGTGAAGGGAACTTTAAGATATAAATAAATTTATTGTAAAATTTCTCTCCTGTTTTGTTTTCTAAAGCAGTGCAACTAACTTTTTGACTGACCCTCGTAGAACGAATTCTTACGGGTGTTCTCGAAGGCAGGTCAAAAGCTATAAATACCCTGCCTGTGCGCATTTTATCGGGAAGATTATCTTGAGAAGACTATCGAGAGTAGTAGTAGATTATGCTGAGTTCAACAGTAGTGTTTTGAGTTCAGAGGTTAGCATGGAAACGACGAAACCGGGTCAGGAGCTGTACTTTAGGGCTTTACCTTAAAGCTTTTTTCACCATCGTAGCCTGAAGGCTATGCCACTGATTGTTTCAGCGTGTTTAACACAGTCCTTTTGACGACTGTAAACGTGTTTTTGAAACTGACCTGAGAATAAATTGTATTTTGATTCTTCATCAAAATTATTTGATGAATAATTAAAATAGGACAAAACATTGCTAGAGATAGTTATTTCCAAAATTTGACATTTTTTCCCCTTTTTTCGCCCTGCCTTTAGGTGTCGGTTACAAAATAATTACAATAATTCAAGGCTAATTTCATTCTCTTTAATGCCACTGAGTGATATTCTATAGTAATGTTCTAGTAAGCAACTGGTAAACTCGTAGTAGTACGTTTGCTAGTTTTACTTACTTAAACTAGTAACTAGTACTTTACTAGTTTACTATGGAATAAGTTTAGTACTTATTCCATAATCTACTTTTTATCTTGAATGGGTGATGCTTTATTTTTACATTCTGGCTCTTTTGATTTACGATGTTCTTACGATAACAGACTGTCTACAGAGTTTAAAGAGTAGCAGTTTCATTAAACACAATAAATCGCTGAGTTTAAAACGCTGTGTATTCTTGATCTTTATAAAGAATTTATAACTTTCTGATAACTGAACAAATAAATTATGATCATTTTTGTTAGTAAAACTGATGAGCTTAAAATAGTTAAGTAATCTAGTAGGCAATTTATCTAAAAAGCGAATAACTGCATTAATTTTATATTTACGACTTGTTTTTACCTTTAGAACTAGGAATTATGCGGTCTATAATTTACTAAAAATGTTCAAACATTCAGCCTCTTCCCCACGCTTAACTTAAATATACTATAGTTATTGGTCAGGTTTGTGATGCTAAGTAGGATGATGCCATTAATCGTAATACATTATTACTTGATTCGTGAAACTTGCGTACAAGAGCAGCACTTTAAAACATGTGGGCTTGATCTTCAACTCTGAAATTCCAACTAAATCAAAATAAAAGATAAAATACGAGAAAGAAATTATATAAAAGCAATAGCGGCACCATAGAAGTTTAAAATAAGGGAGTTATTCTTAATATGGACAAAAACAGATGATTTAGATTGGATATAAAGAACAATTGAAACTTCCCAAATAAATCGAAAAGAAACTAAAAATGAAAAAGAATCTCATCGTTTAGAACTCGAAAACGAAATATTCTTTTCTCATATTACTCTCTAAAGAATGATGATGTAAACATCTCTAAAGAATGATGATGTAAACATCTCTAAAGAATCATATAAACATCTGAAAAGAATGATGTAAACATCTCTAAAGAATGACGTTACTTCTTCAAACACTCGTAACAGAATGTATATTTATCATAATATATGTTTATATTTATCCATATATAAACTAGTGCTAGATTTTAATATAATTTCTCACATCTGCAGTATTATTATTGCAATTTACTTTGCCCTGGTGAATTTTTTACTTTGCACATATATTTTAAACAATGACATTGGGATTGGCACTACTTATAAAAATTATGTAAGTCATTTATCATTTATTTTGGCATTATTCATACATTCTAAGCCATTTAAAAATATCATTGGGATTGACATATTCGTTTTTCCTTTCCTTAAGATCATTTAGATCTTTTCTCTTAAATCCATTACTCTCCAACATTAAGTAATTAATTTTCCGTACATGGTGAGTCAGAAATATGGTTACACATTTGTTTATAATACAGGATTTGTCCGAAAAGTACTAGAACTGAAGTTTATTCATAGTTCTGACACATCGACTTAATAGATTTCAAAATATGCCCCTTTTTCATCAACACAGCCTTTCCAGCGTCTCTACCAATCACTGAAGGCTCCATGGAACGCAGAAACTGGAATGCTCTTCAGCTCCCTCGTTACCCCCTCTTGAATGGCCTGGATCGAGCTGTGGTGGCGTTCTTGACCCGTTTTAGTCGGGGGAAGAGGAAGAAGTCCCAAAGGAGTGATATCTGAGCTGTAGGATGGCTAGAGAACGCTGTGTGATGCCATGTTTGGTCAGGAAGTCCATGACAGCAAAGGCGGTGTGGCTCGGTGTATTGTGGTGATGGAGCCTCTATGACCCAGCAAATGCTGGACGGACACCGGGCGTATCGTTTTCTGAGTCTTTCCAGTAAGGCACAGCCCATATGTGGATCCTTCAGACTTCTTCCCCTTCCTCCGATTAAAAAGGGTCATGAAAGGACGGCACCACGGCTGGGTTCAGGCCATTCAAAAGGTCGTAACGAGAGAGCCGAAGAGCATTCCATTTTCTGCCTTCCGAGGAGCCTTCAATGATTGGCAAGGTTGCTCGAAACGCTGGGGTGTTGATGCATAAAGGGCATATTTTGAAAACTATATTGTCGTCTTTATTAAAAATTGTGAATAATTTTGTTTAAAAAATTCAGTCCTACTACTTTTTGGACAAACCCTGTATGCCATAACAGTATTTGCCTGTAACGCCTTTGGAAAGTCTGTTCTTCAAATTAAAGAGCAATACGAAAAAATACCGACCAGACTTATTTTATTACTTCAAAATGCTTGCAAGTGCTGTGTTAACTTGCAAATCGCTATTCTGTCTATAAACTTTATTTTTCTGGGTGTCATCCAAACGTTATAAGTGATAGTTTCCTTTGCTTTCCTACAGTTATTAATGTCACATTAAGAAGTCCCATCTCGTCATTCTCATATCTCACAATCATTCCGAAGCTCAATTCCCAATATAATTTGCCCAGTATTGTCTGCGTCTTTTTACTGTAATTTACTCTGCATTGTAAGCGTCATTATGTCTAATGATAGAACCTCGGGAACATGAACTCTTATTTCCCAAGAAAAAGACGATGTTAAAAGTTTAGAACATTACCATTTCTTTTTATAATACAAAGTAACACACTACATTTTCTTCAAATGTCAAGCCTTATTTCTATTCCCTCTTTTTCTACAAATTTTGGGATTTCGACGAGCAATATTTTTAGCTCTCAGCAGTCACATATCTAAACGACTACAAAAAAATTTAATAGAATACAAATTAGCAATTAAAATATTCCTAGATATGGTATTTATTTCTCTAATACATGAAGAAGTAAATGATCTAGTTATTCTAACTTTCTATTATCATGAAAAATAAATTGAATGCATATACATTTACAATTTTAAAATTTCAGAAATGTCAAATCTATGTCTACCGTATATAAAAATTTCCTTTTCCATTTCTGCATCACTGTATGAATGGAAACACTGTATTTATTCTTCCAGGTCAGAAGTATCCATACTGGAACTGACATGAGTAGGATTTTCGAATATAGAATACCCTCTTTTTAGAAATGGCAAACCACATAAAGCGAGAGAATAACTTTAAATTCATAATATTCATATCCTTGATTCTCATGGATGATGGACTGTCTTTCCTACTGAACATTTTTCTATCACGATTTGATCAACTTCAAGCAAAAGAATTATTTTTCTACTTGGTTTCTCCTGAATATTAAAATCGCTTCCGTGAACATTTTCTTTTCTTGTGTATACTGAGACTTAGAATTCTTTGCCTTATATGTTTCCTGCACTTCGTTGCACAAAATGAACAAATATTATTGAATTAATCTATTTTAGGAAGTACGTAAAAATACCCTCTCTTGAATCTTTTTTCTAAGACCCTATGTAGGAATATTTTGTTGAGATAGCAAAAAAAAATTCAGATTTCGGTTATCAATGAAATTTCCTAACAGGTGACTGATCAGAAAATGAAAAATTTTGCCATTTCTAAATACCTTTTGCTTCTGAGTTTACATATGATATATGTATAACAGTGCCATTTTAATATTGTAAATGGAGCGCTTAGAAAAGTTTTTACCAAAAGAGCTTTTCACCAATAATTTTAAATCATAAAAAAGGCGGATCAGGCAAGAAATTAGTACATGTCTAGAGATTCGTTTTTCGTTAACCGTGAAGAATTTCGTATGTCACTGTAGGTAGGTAGGTTACGGAGGACTAGAATGCCTGGGTGTCTAACAGAGGTAAACAGGCATGTGTTCCGCGTCCTCTTCTAACTACAGCAAAAGCTCCCTGGAGCCACACGAAGCTGCACCAAAAGATTATTGAGGTTGTCAAAGGGAAGTACATGGCCTTACAAGGGCATTAGTAGGATTGTATTACAGATTGATGAGGCAAGCTGTGGTGTTAC